CACCGTGCATCCCAGCCATCAAGTCATCCTCAGGCCTGAGGTATCGGTCCGGGTAAACCGGGAGGCCTGGTTGATCACATTGAGCCGGAGGTGAATGATCTGTGAGATTTGAGTGACCATGGATGATTAGATTGTCATCATATCAATTGATAAACTCACCGGAAATTTGAGAAAAGACTTCCGGACCATTGGATGACACAGAACATGATTCTGGGTCATCAGCCGGCCCAAGATATAATTGATCTGAGGATGTCCGGTAAATTTATAAGGTGTGATGGATGTTGAACATACCTGTTGACATCCGGGACACGGTTGATTCATCCACATCCATTGAGTTATATTCAGTGACCAGAGGGTCATTGAATCTAACTGTAGCAGGGGAGTTCATGTTCTGTGAGGAACTGATCAACTGATTCACTGATTATTGATAACTTCGAAGTTGAATACAAGGCACCGGCAATTGCCGAAAGTTGAACCACAACCAAACAAGGACAAACAATCAATGAAATTTTACATTGTTAATCACTGATCTTGTTTTTACTGAAACATCATCCTTGTGATAACTGATTTCAACCTGATCTCAACACTTTCAACACTTTCAATTGAAATACCATGTCTACTCCAGTTGACACCTCTTTGACCGGCCTCAAGGAAATCACTGCCAAGATCATGGCCATCATCACCGGCGCTCGGCAGCTTCCTCCGGGCCACAGCCACTTTTCTCTGACAACCCAGGTCAGTACACTCGTGGTATGTAGCATTGTCATATTTTCTCCCCTCCATTTTTTTCATCATCCGGGTAGGCTGATGTGGTCCGGCGCTATGGGAGTGGTCCCTACCTTCCGGGTCTCGTGTGTTCAGTGCTCAAGGGAGTTAATTCGTGTATGGGGCATGACTCCTCAGGTCTTGCCCAACTGGCACAGCATCGGGTATGATGATACCCGTTTGTTGACGCACCCCTGGCGCAGCAAGGTTCTTGCCTGGGAGGAGTTAGGTGATCACACCTTCGATCTCCCAGTCGTGGCCAGTCCTTCAATAGGTCCAATTCCTGTGGATCTTCCACCCTGGCCTGTCATCGCCGGGCCTTCTACCAACCCTGCCTCCGAGTCCCGGGAGAAGGGAAAAGGTAAGGCAGTAGTCCCGGACCCGGAACCAGAAGTGGAAGGGAGTCAGAAGAGGAAGTCTCCAATGATTCCAGCACTTCCCTCCCAACCCCCGAAGTCCACTATGAAGACTCGGAAGCAGGCAAAGACCACCGGCCTTGCCAAATTCAAGGTGTTTGTTGAGTTGGAAGATGAGGAGGACTCAGTCACTCAGGTATGTCCTCTGGTTCATTGTTTCATTGTCTTACTCATTTTGTAGCCGATTTCACGTGGAGTGCCAGAGGTCGTCCTCCCCCAGCTCTCCCCAGATGTTGCAAGGACGTCTGGATCACCTCGGTTACCCCGTAGCCTGAAGAAGAAACCCTTTGGGCCTGCTACGGTAAGTCGCACTTTTGCATCCGGCACTCGGGTGAGTCCTTACAATGTGCCAGGCAATTGCCGGCAAATGTCCAGAGGTCATCACACCCCCTCGGGCAATTCCCAAACCTCCAGTAGAGGCGCCCCCAGTCATCGATGCAGGTGATATACTCATTCCCGGACCCGTAAGTACACTATTGAGGCTTGGTGTGTCTATGAACTGACGGATCACACAGAACAACCCTTGCCAGGCTTGCCACAAGATGGAATGGCCCTGCGCAACTCAGCTTGACAAGAGGACTGGCGCCCCGTGCATGTCCTGCGTCTACTGTACCACCAAGAAGATCAAGTGTATCTCTGTGAGTATGGGAACCCCGCCGAAACGTGTTCGAGGTCAATCCGTCACCCGGACCACCAGGAGGACCAGATCCAAGACCCCTTCCAAAGCTCCCTCCACAGCTCTGGCTGCCTCGCAATCCACCAGCCAGACACGGAGTCAATCTTGGGTCTCTTCTGTCACTCCTGGTCCATCTTGTGCCCAAACACCAAAGGCGCAAACACACGGTCGCAGCAAGACTGTCACTGCTGCCTCACAGATGCCCTGGCAAAATTGTGAAACCGGATGATCTGGACAATCTTTTCTCAGAGTATGATTTAGTTGAGTGCTACGGGTTTCGGGCTCGGGAATCAGAAAAGGACTTCCGGCAAACTGTTGAAGACAATCTAATATTTCCATGTTAACAATTTTGCAAAATGTGGGTTTCCACTCATTTCGTGTTTTGGACTTCGAGCCTTGGCACTCGGCATTTGGGTCTCGGCACTCAGTGAATCGATAAGTCACTGATAAGTTTTGTGGCTTTGCAATGGTACCTCCATGAAATTTGTAAGAAATACCATATGGTGTATTGTGTCCAGTGTTGTGTTTTGAGCCTCAGGTTTCGGGCATCGGCACTTGGCACTCAGGTCCTTGGTACTCAGTGATTCAACCATTGAGTTTTGGATTTTGGTGTTCTGGGAGTAACACTTTCATGTCAACAATTTTGCAACATTTAGTCTTCCAGTCATTTCGAGTTGCAGGTTTCAGGCCTCAGCACTCGGTCAATTAATAAGTCACTGATAATGAAGGTAACATTGATTGAAAACATTGCATATACATCTATGACTATGTAATTATGTAGTCATGTCAACATCCTCACCAGAAGGTTCACCGCACTCAACTAAATCATACTCTGAGAAAAGATTGTCCAGATCATCCGGTTTCACAATTTTGCCGGGCATCTGTGAGGCAGCAGTGACAGTCTTGCTGCGACCGTGTGTTTGCGCCTTTGGTGTTTGGGCACAAGATGGACCAGGAGTGACAGAAGAGACCCAAGATTCACTCCGTGTCTGGCTGGTGGATTGCGAGGCAGCCAGAGCTGTGGAGGGAGCTTTGGAAGGGGTCTTGGATCTGGTCCTCCTGGTGGTCCGGGTGATGGATTGACCTCGAACACGTTTCGGCGGGGTTCCCATACTCACAGAGATACACTTGATCTTCTTGGTGGTACAGTAGACGCAGGACATGCACGGGGCAGCCAGTCCTCTTGTCAAGCTGAGTTGCGCAGGGCCATTCCATCTTGTGGCAAGCCTGGCAAGGGTTGTTCTGTGTGATCCGTCAGTTCATAGACACACCAAGCCTCAATAGTGTACTTACGGGTCCAGGAATAAGTATATCACCTGCATCGATGACTGGGGGCGCCTCTACTGGAGGTTCGGGAAGTTGCCCGAGGGGGTGTGATGACCTCTGGACATTTGCCTGGCAATTGCCTGGCACATTGTAAGGACTCACCCGAGTGCCGGATGCAAAAGTGCGACTTACCGTAGCAGGCCCGAAGGGTTTCTTCTTCAGGCTACAGGGGTAACCGAGGTGATCCAGACGTCCTTGCAACATCTGGGGAGAGCTGGGGGAGGACGACCTCTGGCACTCCACGTGAAATCGGCTACAAAATGAGTAAGACAATGAAACAATGAACCAGAGGACATACCTGAGTGACTGAGTCCTCCTCATCTTCCAACTCAACAAACACCTTGAATTTGGCAAGGCCGGTGGTCTTTGCCTGCTTCCGAGTCTTCATAGTGGACTTCGGGGGTTGGGAGGGAAGTGCTGGAATCATTGGAGACTTCCTCTTCTGACTCCCTTCCACTTCTGGTTCCGGGTCCTGGGACTACTGCCTTACCTTTTCCCTTCTCCCGGGACTCGGAGGCAGGGTTGGTAGAAGGCCCGGCGATGACAGGCCAGGGTGGAAGATCCACAGGAATTGGACCTATTGAAGGACTGGCCACGACCTGGGAGATCGAAGGTGTGATCACCTAACTCCTCCCAGGCAAGAACCTTGCTGCGCCAGGGGTGCGTCAACAAACGGGTATCATCATACCCTGATGCTGTGCCAGTAGGGCAAGACCTGAGGAGTCATGCCCCATACACGAATTAACTCCATTGAGCACTGAACACACGAGACCCGGAAGGTAGGGACCACTCCCATAGCGCCGGACCACATCAGCCTACCCGGATGATGAAAAAAATGGAGGGGAGAAAATATGACAATGCTACATACCACGAGTGTACTGACCTGGGTTGTCAGAGAAAAGTGGCTGTGGCCCGGAGGAAGCTGCCGAGCGCCGGTGATGATGGCCATGATCTTGGCAGTGATTTCCTTGAGGCCGGTCAAAGAGGTGTCAACTGGAGTAGACATGGTATTTCAATTGAAAGTGTTGAAAGTGTTGAGATCAGGTTGAAATCAGTTATCACAAGGATGATGTTTCAGTAAAAACAAGATCAGTGATTAACAATGTAAAATTTCATTGATTGTTTGTCCTTGTTTGGTTGTGGTTCAACTTTCGGCAATTGCCAGCGCCTTGTATTCAACTTCGAAGTTATCAATAATCAGTGAATCAGTTGATCAGTTCCTCACAGAACATGAACTTCCCTGCTACAGTTAGATTCAATGACCCTCTGGTCACTGAATATAACTCAATGGATGTGGATGAATCAACCGTGTCCCGGATGTCAACAGGTATGTTCAACATCCATCACACCTTATAAATTTACCGGACATCCTCAGATCAATTATATCTTGGGCCGGCTGATGACCCAGAATCATGTTCTGTGTCATCCAATGGTCCGGAAGTCTTTTCTCAAATTTCCGGTGAGTTTATCAATTGATATGATGACAGTCTAATCATCCATGGTCACTCAAATCTCACAGATCATTCACCTCCGGCTCAATGTGATCAACCAGGCCTCCCGGTTCACCCAGACCTATACCTCAGGCCTGAGGATGATTTGATGGCTGGGATGCACGGTGAGTATCATTTAAATCATCTAACAATGCATGTTGACACAAAAATCGTGCAGATCAATCACTTCCGGCCCAACCTGATATGCTGGGTCTAGCCATCCACCCGGATCTCTACCTCGGGCCTGATGAAGATCTTATGACTGAGATCCCAGGTATGTTCATCGATTGAAATGAAAAGTCCGGCCATCCCTGGTTACTAAAGCCTGACAGATCCATCACCTCCGGCCCAACCTTATCACCCGGATGTACCCATCCACCCAGACCTGTACCTCGGGCCTGATGAAGCTTTTATGCCAGAATTCCCCAGTCTGTCATTCAAAACATCTCACCATCTCTGTTCACTAAACCCTTACAGATAAATCTCTTCCGGCCCAACCTGATCAACCGGGTTTCCCCATTCACCCAGACATGTACTTAGGGCCTGAAGATGATCTGATCGACTGTGAGGTGAAGCAGGAGCGTGCTGATTCAGATAGTGAGGTCTCAGGTGCGCCAGTAGTATCCAGGGCATGTAGGTTTCTCCCTACCATCCAGGTTTCCTTACTTAATTCATCTCCAAAGTGATTGCAAAATCTCCCGAACGTGATTTTCCCCACCCGGATGTCACCTATGAAGAATTGCTTGCCATGGTCCGGGATCTCCGGCCATTTGAGTCTTACAATCACACAGGCAGTGAGTGTCTGATATAATCATTTATCTTTCTGCTAATTTGTCTCTTAGTTCAATCCATTCAAGATTGGGTCCGGGATTACAAACAGCGACACGGACATATTCCCGACCCATCCATCCAACAACTACTCGAGGCTGAGAGACCATTCCGAACTGCCTGGGCAGAAACATCTGACAAACTCAGAAGAGCTGATGAAGACCTCCAGAGGCTGCAAAGAGCTGAACATTTGACTTCCGAAATGCTCAAGGTATTAGATTCCCTCATTCTTAGGTTTGAAGATCAAATTCAAATGTAAATTACACAATTTCTGTTAGTAGACAAATTACCTGTGAACTTTTGAATGTTTATGAACCCACTCACGTCATGTAAACTACTTAATTATGGATGTATTGAACTCCCATTTTCGATTTATTCACTATTGAAGGACTACCGAGGCCTGAGTATCGATTACCGGGTCCATGTTTTGAGTCCGGCGCACCAATAACCTACTTCCCATTGCATGACATGGATATGTACATAAGGGGAGACAGTGTGGGATAAGTACATCACTTCCTTCCCCTCACTCTTGTCACCCAAGGAGTACTGTCTAATGGCTTTGGCGTCAACTTACTCCAGGTGGTCCTCGCCGATGGCTCAATCACCGCTTTCTTTCCCCGCATCCTTTTCGGAGCTGGCAATGTTTTCCTCCCTTCCATTGCAACATCATCGTCAACCTCTCCAGTGTTGCCATTGGTTAACCCTGCTAGCAGGTTGCCCATTCGCGATGTCAGCAGTGCACCATGTTTCGCCAGCTTGACGGGGCGAGGCTTTGGAATTGACGGTGGGATTGCCATCTCTGCATGTGATGATGAAGGACCTTCTCCGGTTCTGGTTCTCTTTTTTGATGATCTACCATCAGCCAAGTCATTATCATCATCATCATCATCATCATCCGAATGATGAGTGTCATTCCCGAAATCACTGTCAGGTTCGGAGGATGAATCCCTAGGGCTTCAGATGATTACCCTGTGCATGTTTTTGACTTTACCCGTCCAATGGGAAGGCGACCCACCTGATATGACCGATGCTACCATGTCGCCATCTTTGTTCTTCCACACTTTGAACATGAATGTTGATCCTTTGCCTGTCTCCTGCCGAGCATACCAGAAATTGAGGAGGGCCGTCGTGTCCCAATTTTGCAACTTGGAAGGCTCCTTCAAGTCGACATCCGCCAGAAGATATCTTCGTGACACAAAGTCATCCTGGCATTGAAGGATGGTGCTCCATGGCACTACTGCCTTGTCAATCCCTGAACAAATCCCTATGTCGATGCATTCAACAAAGTCCCGGATGTAGCAATGATTGACTCATGATAGTGTGATGTGAGAAAAGCCCTGACTATGGTGTTCTTCTCCTCGAGTTTTGTTTCGGTGATGTCCAGAAGCAGCGGCATCCCATCCTCATCAGTGTCAAGCTCGAAGGCTGATTTTCAGATTCTCTTGCGACCTCCCTTCATCTGTCGGCCACCTTCCCATGCTCCAGCACCTATCACAGAGACCATCAACACACCCCTCCGGGTATCAACAGTTTAAACACTCACCAAACTGTTCCTGCGCATACTCCTGCCACACCGGCTCGATGTCCTCCCAGTTCTTTGTCTTCATGAAGCTGTCCCCATCTCCTAATGCCTTGTTATCATCGTGCCTGCGTGAAATATATTGGGTTGAAAGATCTGCGATGACAGGTAAAATTCACTCACATCCCGAACAGCACCTCGCCCTGTTCATTCTTCCAAGCTGACAACACAAACACTCTCATCCCGCATTGCCTCCACATCTCCTTCAAAAAGTGCTCCATATATGCAGGTCCCTTCTTATGGGCGACCTGTGCTTGTATCTCAGGAGGAGGACAGTTGTTGGACCATTCTTCGGCGGTTTCTTTCACCTTCTCCAACTTGTCGTCAGACAATTCAGCCATGACTCTCTTCACAGCCACCTGATAATGCTTGAACATACCAGGATCTCCTGGCTTTGCCCCAGACTCTTCCTCAATCCTCTTCAGCACCTCTTCCCAATTCTCCTGGTAGATCACCATCCTAGGCATCCATTTCCTCCCATACTTTATCATGTCCTTCCTTTTCTTCTTTTTCTTGTTGTTGAACAACCAAGTCTTGTACATCTGAGCATTGAAGGAAGTGTAAGACATTAAATTTTTTTTCGCATTGCAACAAGGATGTATCACCTGCTTCCTCTTTTTCCATTGTCCTTGGTCCACCTTTGGCGCAAACAACCTGGCAGCCCTGGCAATTGCAGTGAAAACTGCCCGCTTCTCGCTCCTTTTCGTAGAAGTCCACTCAGGAAGGTAGTTCTTCAGCTCGGAAATTTCGGTTTCCGTGAGCTTCTGTGTCTGGGGTTGACATGCCCTATGTCTTCCAGGAGACAAGCGAGTGGAATGACCTGACCTTGCCATGGTGACTCTGATTGGTGAATGTGCTGAGGGTAAGCAAGGCGTAATTAATATTGGTTCAAAGTTCAACTTTGACCAAAGCCTAACAGTTGGTTAATCAACCCATATCGGACATGATGCCATTAATGGAAATAAATTTGTAATGAACAACCAATACTGCACAAACATAGCATTGGAATAACAATTTGTGCAACCTTCCTGAGCTAATGCTGTTCTTGCAACATTCGAAAATAAGATGAAGATAGGTCTATGCACCCCGCTGCAAAAATCCCACAGGGTAGAAGCAAGGGGCAGAAAAGATAGGAAAACTTGGGTCAAGGTCCCGCTTGCAAGCGCAAGACGACATGCCTACAGGTCCATGCCTAACTCTCCCCTGGAATCACCAACACTTCAGCCTGTTCCTGCACCACCTACTTGGGAAGACTGTCCTGATAATACTTATGAGCAAGACCAAGGCTCATTCGAGCCTTTGCAGCTTCCAAAAACAATGGCAAGTGAATGTAAACCATTGGAGCGTCGTTCAAACCTTGCTAAGTATAACAAATGCAGAGCCAGAATGACTACCTGAGGCAATGGCTCCCAAGGCAGGAATCATATCTGCATCACCTCCTAAATTGAGAAGCTCCTCCAGAAGATAGGAGATGCATCGTCTGCGACCAGGATAGGGTCTACAAATGTCAAGATTGTCTTGGGGAGCCACTCTATTGCACGGGATGTTGCAGGAGTCAACATCAGTCACAACCCTTTCCACTGGATCAGTCAATGGAATGGTCAGTTCTTCGAGCAAAGTTGTCTCGCTCATGTCGGACTCATCATACACCTCGGTCATGATGGCAAAGAATGTCCTGCACTCGCAAATAGGTGAGATTTGTTCAAAGGAGACGAACCCGAGGACCAGCTTGAGCCTGAAGATCTACCATCCGTGTCGGGACCAGAGTTCCAGCCTAAGGAAAACACCATGGTCATCGTCGACAAGTCCGGAGTTCATCGCCTCAAGGTTCGATGCTGCGATTGTCCAAATGCCATGAGTCTGGACATTCAAATGTTTTGACATGGATTTTTCCCTGCATCATTCAACAAACCAAAGACTGTGTTCACCTTCAGAGTGCTCAACAATTTTCTATTGGACAACCTAGAATGCGGCACCTCCACTGATGAACTATTACAGCAAGCTCCTGGCAAATGACCTCCAGCATGTTTCCTCACCTTGTTCCGGTGATCATATATCTCCTTCATCTAAAGGACATTATATTGACAAGGCACTTGGCAAGGACCGATACAGAGAGCTCATGAGAGTGCCTCGACAGTGGAGGCAGTTGAAGACCATGAAATGGCATGGACTTCGGCCATCGTTCCAATGCTCCTAATGCCGGAGATCTCGCATTGTTTTGCCCTGACATGTCCTCAGCCTGGGATCAACATATCCTTGTCAGGGAATGAAACACTTGATGAGTGAGTCTAGTTTCATACTTGAGTGACCTAAGTGATGATAAGAACTCCAAGCTGGAAATATACCCGGTCATTTGTGATGGACTGGTAATTTCAAAGCCAAACACTTGCATCCCATCAAGCCATTTGATGAAGTATGGCTTGCTGATGAGCTGGGGTTCATGGTGGGAAAGGACAGGTATAAAGCGCATCTTGCGGAGGCTGCTGACACTTTGGAAAAATCTAGCTGCAACAATCACTGAGCGGTAAATCAAGCAAATATGGCTTGGCACAAGCTGGAGTCGACGGGTATTGGGGGAGTTGCTTGTGCCTGCCACGGCTGCTTTGTCCCTCATGCGATGGTCGATTTTCAGAAAGGCAAAAGGCAAGCCGAACATGAAGTTCTACATTCACAAGTTGATCATGCATCATTTGCAGACAAATGAACATGGACTATGCCCTTTGCAAGGCTGCCCAGCACAACATGAAAGGCGTTACCAAGGCTGTCACCTTTTATGACATCAACTGTCAATACAACAAGCACCTTCAGGTTCAGGTGGATCGAAGCTGATTTCTTGAAATGGTACCGGAATTGACCATCATTCCCAGCATCGGTTTGTGGCACATGCATGGATATCAAGACAGCTGCTATGTCCGATATGCGTCGAATTTCATTGAAGGCATTGGCCGGATAGATGGAGAGATCATGGAGACTCTCTGGGCACGTCTCAACCTAATTTCCCCCACTGCTCAGGGAATGTTGTCCCCTCATCGACAGGAATGTCTTGATTTTCAGATGAACGATTCCAACTTCTGCAAGATGATCTGCATGAAAAGGACCCTTTGCCGTAAATACAAGCAGGCAAAAAATTGCATCGCCAAAAGTGAAAAGGCTTTCGACAGACTCGATGAAGCAGCACCTGCCAATTTGAAGACAGAATGGTTGGCCAATGAGAGGATCGCTCAATCCCAGCAGAATAAATGATCCTGCGGTGATGGATGTTTATGAGATAAATATCAAGAAGGGTAAGCTGACCATGTCTCCATAGAAGTCCGAATTAATTTCGCACTCAGCACCGAGCAAAAAGGAGATCGAACTTAGACTGCTAGAGCAGGGTAATGCCCGTAATGCAGCACCATCTCGGAGATCTGTGGTGACATGGATATCTATGGGGTTGGCAATCGAGGAGGCTCAAATTGCATTGCTCATCGAGGTCTGAAGAATCGGAAAACAAACTACTGAAGACACAGAGATTAGACCTCGCCCGGCAATGAGATCGTCTCCTAAGGCCAGATAGATGGATTCACGTGTTCTGCTGTCACGTATCTCAGAGAGGGATTCGATGGAGATGACGATCATGACGACTTGAACATAGACATCCTAGATGATCTCGATGATGACCCGGAAGATTTTACCGAGACATCTGATACATGGACAAACTCACCCGAGCTCATTGCAATCCCATTGCCATTAAACCTCGGGGTAGATCGATGCAGACACTTGATGGCAGAGGATCTCATTCCGCTGGAGATCTCCCTTCGCAAAGGGCAGGCAAATGATGCACTTCACAACCTCCACATTCACTTGTGCAACAAGGCAGTCCTATTCCGAACGAATGGTCAGGCAAGCCAAATCTCAAGCCCTGAAAACTCGAGCCTGGTCACAGGTGACGTCAGTGCAGCAGGCTGTCTCCCTGCATGCGAGTATATATACCAAGACCAGGACTGCAAATGATGAAACTTGACACGGGGCATGGCCAACTTCAGAAGTACAAACCCCTGCTTCGCAAGCAGCTCAAAGTCAACACTGCCGTGGGTGATCCGAATGCCCGTGGTCAACGAAATGAATTCCTCGCGTGGTTCTGGTCCATCGATGTCGATATGCATGGTCTGGATCAATCATGGAATGAGGAATGTGAGTTCCCTAATGCTCGACATGTCCGATGTTGAGCTGACCGGACGAATATGAAGTTTACCAAGTTCACTGGCTCCAGGCAAAGGCACTATGGGATCGATGGAAGGAAGGGCTGATGTTGGTCCAATTTGAGATGGATTGGACATGTAACTTTTTCTTGTGGAAAGCAGCCCAATGGGGCGACCGGATGCAGGAATCATTCACGAAACGACTTCCGGGTCATGCATGCTACTCCGGAAGGCAATCCTGAATATATTCATTGCTGGTGCAGGACACCCAGGCAGTGTTTCAACACCTGCAGACTGTTTTGATAGATTCCCTGAGATGAATGAATGGTTCATTGCCGATGGGATATAACAACCATTTTGATATACAAATTGAGTCCCGGGAATTGGCCGGGTCAGCCCATGTCGGAGTTTGAAAAGTTTATCCATCCATCAGTGGATAATATCTTCACATCTGAACCAACTGTCATTGTCATTGCCAGTGTGATACTCCTGCATCAGCCATGCCTGAATTATATCCTTCCCCTACATCCACTTCTGATAATCAGAATTCACTCAATGAGTACCGGCCCCTCACTCTCACTCCTGCAGACATTTCAGCTACTATGTTGATGTCTGCATCGCACATCCGCACATCCATCTCCCAATATCAGGCGGAGGCTGCAAACAACAATATTCCCCCTTTGGCTTGGATCAGGCACTTCAAAGCCGGGCTGCAATGGGAGATCACTGTAAGACCCTGACGATACTGGCAGTTGATACTGACATCTTCCACAGACTTTTGTCACTCCCATCCTCCAGTACTCAGCTGCCAGGAACATCATTTCGGTCGTTCCCAGCCCTATTGCTCATATTATTCATTTGATTCCCAGTCACACCTGGAACACGGTTCTGGATCACATCTTTTCCTATCACATCTGTTTGTTTCATGATGTCGCAGATCCTGGAGATCCATCCCGGATTGTATCTGGCTATGATACCCCATGGTGGATGGGAGAAACTGCAATCCTGAACGAACCATGGCAATGGGATCGGGTGATGACTTGCTGTATCTTTCACTACCAGCATTGGCTAGTAAGATTCTTATTCCATTTCCTTGATTCATGACTGATCTGCTCTAGGATGGCATTGAGAATGATGGTCTGACAATTCCGGAGCAGGTGGATCATACCTCAGTTCCATCACTGATGGGACTGAGGTGGATTAGAGAACGCCTCCTGACATTACTTGAGGAGCAATGTGAGGGCATCCGTGACAAGATGGCAGAGATACAAATCTACACTGCCATGCTGGACAGATTGAAGAGAGGCAGAGGAGAGTAGCTCTAGTCACTCAGTTGGAAATGTTGAAGTGCAAGTTGCATATGTGTTTTATGAGTACTGAAAATCGCTTGTAAACATTGCAATATCTAACATGATGTTATATGGCGAGTCCCGAAATAAACGGTGCAGATGTGCATCACCATGTCCTGACCACCGAGGTCCGGATATCAAGTCCTGATTACTGAGACCCCATTACCGAACTCCGAATATCGAGTTTCGAGTTCTGAACGTTGAGTACCGAGCGTCGAGTACCGAATGCTGACTGCCGAATATCGAACTCCGAGTTCCAGATCACCATTACCAATTCCCGACTCCCAGAATTTAACTACTGAGGTCCAAATATCGAGACCCGAGTGCCGAGACCCAATTACCGAACTCCGAATATCGAGTGTTGAGTTCCGACTATTGATTTCCAAGTTCCGGATATCGAGTCCCGATTACCGAGTTCCAAAACATTGGGTACCAAGCATCGAGTACCGAATGTTTACTGCCGAATATTGAACTCCGAGTTCCAGATCTCCATTACCAATTCCCAACTCCTGGCATTAAACTACCGAGGTCCAAATATCAAGACCCAAGTGCTGAGACCTGGTTACCGAGCTCCTGGCCTTGATGACTGTCGATAGGATCTGAGTCTAAATACAATGATAGCCATCGCCCCAGTACCATTTTCAAATTTGTACAGCAGCATTCATACTTACATTTCTTTGCTTCTCTGTGCCCTTTTGACTTGTAGGTTCCTTTTGCAACAGACCGTTCTTCTTAGCATTGCCTAGCGTAAGGTCGATGATATCTTCTGCGCTACCCCAACCCAGGGCCGGCTTTTTGTAACTGTGCACCACAACTGAAACCCCACTCCCTCGCACTGAATGTGTTGGTGCTCAAGTGTCATCAAGAGACACGGAAGGCTCTGGACAGTTATTGTATTCATCTGCTATGGATTTTGGACCTCGAGTGTCATCAAGAGAGACAGTTTGTACTTGGTAGTCGAAAGCAGGTACTGATGCGGGTAATTACACTTTCTACCTGTTTCATCTTCCACCCACATGGTGGTAGGGTTCGTCAATCCACCCTAGCCCATCCGCATGAGGGAACCCCGGCATAAATATGAACAGAGTCCCTCATATACCATGCCCACCCAACCCTATCCCCCTCCACCTGATGAACCCCATGTCTGACAATCCTTCCAGAAAATCCAATCATACACCCAGGATCGTACCCGAACTCCAGCTGAAGGCTTGGCATGCTCATCCGAGCATTAGAATAATTCCCCACAGTGGTGAGAATATCGAAGCATTCAGGAATTGATAAATGGTCTCGATGATGCAGGGTTTGACGATTGGAAATGATGGATAGCGTGTTAAACACGGATGCCCAGTACTCCAGGATCTCAGACATTCTTGGCAGTTCCTTGCTTTCTGCCTTTTCTCCGAGGCTTGAAAATGTTTGTAACCCTGCCCAGTACTGCTCCAGATGCATGATCCTGAGCGCCGCTGATGCGATGGCTGCCGGCCTCGCAATGGTGTTTAGGATTCCCTCAGACAATGGTTCCTTTAATGATGCAGATACCTCTGGGTCCACTAGATTCTATGGGATTGGTGAGCTCAACTACCAAAATAATCATCCTATCAAATCCTACCTCGTGCCCCTGTTGAAACCATGCCGGAGATAAATTAATGCACCCGGCAGGTAGGCCAACATCTTCCGAGCGGCATTTGAACCACTCCAGATTGGTTCGCCAATTTCCATTGACCTTCATACTTCTTTCCAGACTCGGAGACAGCAACTCGGTGGCTGCCCAAATTTCCTTCTGTGGTTACCATTGGGTATTTAATATATATTGAGTAACAATCTATATCACACACCTGTGTTTCGGCTGTCAAGGCGTCTGGGAGGTACCATGCAATGATGGTGCCGGACACATCTAGAATGGTGGCAGGTATGTCCACAAACCTTGTCCCCTCATGGCCAGGAGGACATCTCTTAAACAACTTCTCCTCTTTCTCCTCATTGTGCCTGGTGTTCTTTGGGGAGATCAATTTGCTATATCTTGCAATGTCGATGTTCATCTGAACTGTGATGAAGGAATTTGAATGATCAAATGAATTTTCCAAATCTGCAGGAAGACCCACTCGGATTTTTATATGCCTTTATGAGGCGATCTACCAATCGATCGCAGGCCATCACTAGATCAGTGTCTAGGTTAGGAGAGGGTATCACGGGGTCTCCTCCTGTCTTCTCTGCATTGAATTTCTGTGCAGTATATTCAGATGCCTCGTGAGTGACTGTCAGGGCCCAAGTGCACCAGAGGCTTATTTTAATTGAAGAAGTGGAAGAACCATTCATGATGAAGTCGATCTTGGGAAATCAGAAGCTGAATGCTGGACGCCCAGAGGTTGGTGTTAAAGGGGGTGGAGATAGTCAGGATCAGATAAGGGAGCCGAAATACCAGATCATTGGAAGTGTGCTGGATATCAGATATTCATTTGTCCACTCCCGGGGCTCAGATCTCGGCACACTTCACTCAAATTTCAGTAGTTGGAACTTGGCATTTGGTAGGTGGTGAACATGAGGTTCTGATAAGAGAACCTTCCATGATGTTGGCTGTCGAAGATATATTACCATCCATTGCTCAATGAAATACCCAATCATTGGAAGTGTGCTGGATATCAGATATTCGTTAATTGACACCCGGGTCTCGGAACTCGGTATGCTTCACTCGAATTTCGGTAGTTGGAACCTTGCTTCTCATACAGCAATGCAACAGTAATGAACATGCAGCTGCAGGAACTCATTACGCTTCACCCAAATTAGCTACTCAGCAATCGGTACTGCATTGTTTTACAATTATCATTCACCTGTGCCCACCTGTCTATATTATATACCGCCCTCAGCCCACCCGTCTGATATAATATATCCCTGGGCCCACCCGTGTATGTGATAACAAGTACCCTTGGCCGGCCCACCCATCTATCTGATACCCACCTACCTTGACACTCGGCCCACCCATCTAAGATAATATATATCTGGGCCCACCCATGTATGTGATAACACATACCCTCAGCCAGCCCACCTGTCTATCTGATACCCACCTACCTTGACACTCGGCCCACCCATCTAAGATAATATATATCTGGGCCCACCCGTGTATGTGATAACACGTACCCTCGGCTGGCCCACCAGTCTATCTGATACCCACCTTCCTTGACACTCGGCCCACCCATCTAATATAATATATATCTGGGCCCACCCGTGTATGTGACACAATGTACCCTCGGCCGGCCCGCCCATCTAATATAGTATATATCTGGGCCCACTCGTGTATGTGATGACAAGTACCCTCGGCATACCCGTCTCTCTGATACCCACCTACCTTGGTACACCCATCTACATAATATCCCACTACCTCAGCCCATCTGTCTATAGAATATTCATGTCCATCGGCCCACTCATCTACTCTACATATTCCACACATGGGCCCACCCGCCTCCATCGGAAATAATATCCCTCCCGGCCCATCTATCAACATTGAGGATATACATCACATCGGCCCATCATCTGCTGGCCCGTCTTATACAGGATATTATGTAGGTCGGGTGACCCGTACAATACGGAAATATGTCACTGTAATATGTGCCTTTGCAAAGTCTATGTGCAGCCGCTCAGGAAACTCTGTGTTGAAGCCATCGGCCGAACCCCTGGACTTGATAGATTCGACATAGTGAACCATTGAGTGCAGTTTAGGTATGTTGAAGTCTCCACATACGCCAAGGTCCACAAAAATATGCTCATGTTCATGAAATTCATCTAGTGCATATTGCAGAGCGTTCAGGGACTGCAAAGTATGCGAATGAAACTGCACATAATATATAAAATCGAGAACAGGCGTGGGCTGCTTGAGCTACCTTCGGTTGGACAGCACCAGCCAAGACTGCTAACCTTTCGACAGGATATGACTCAATCCATTGTTTTGAATCATGAAAGGGTACAGGTTCATCAGGAACTTCCTCAACATGCACCTGCTGATGTTGCCGCACAGTACAATTCAAGGCAGGGCCAGTGTCTTCAGCAACTTCAGTGATAGGGGGGCAGGCCAGTGGGTCTGGTGGGTTGAAATCTGTGTATGTATCAGGGTTCATGTCTGTCTCATGGGATTGATCATCTTTACAGTCTCCATCCTCATTGGCATCGATAGGGTCGTCTCAGTGAGCAGTTGAATATCCTTCAATATATTGTAATCTCGCACTGATTTGTAATTTGAAACAGCACATTATAAGCATGTTGTATCTTGGATACATCCACCTGTGTCCCTCCGTATGTTGAGTTTTTTTCTCCTCATTCTCATTTTGCTTCACTGAACCCCATTGACTTGTAGATGGGACACAAAAAAATGGTACCAGAAGGTGCAGTGGCCCTCAGTGGTGCTGGTGGCCCTGAGCAGGCTGATCAACCCCCCGAACATCAGGTTCAGTGAACTTCTGCCAAGCAACAAGCACTTGGTAAGGCTGAGTACACTATTCATTGTTTATACCTAACATCATTTCTTTCAGATCAAGAAGCACAAGGCAAAGAAACCAGGAAGACTTTGAAGTATGCCACTCAGGCACTTCGCAGCCGGCAAGTGCTCGAAGAGATCAATGACTTCAACAATCTGGATCCCGAGTCAGAGGAGGAGCCTGGCAGCAATGATGACCTTGATGATGAGGATTCAACGGTAATGTATTTGGTCATACTGAATTGCAAGTGTGTTCTAAATTATGGTTTATACCACCACAGTTTTCATTTTTGTCGGTTGCGCTCAATGCCAAGGCACACACCCATGCTGGCACTGCAGTATGAACACCTGTTTATCTCAAGGAGCCAGGCAACCAGTGTGTCCCTCCAATGCTCACCCCGTGGATACATCATGTTCCCCCACCTATGGCATCAGTTCAAGGTTTGCGCCCACTCAACTTAACAGTGCCCAACACCGTCCTGTCTGGTCCTGGGGGACATGTAAGTAAGGTCATTTGCATGGTACTCCCCACTGAGTTGCTTGTACAGGGAATGCCAACACCTTTGAGTGGTGGGCCAGCAGACCTACCACCAGGCACTAGATTTAATGCATGGACGGGCATGTTTGACAGCATCTCGGATATCTCCAGCCATGAGCTCACAGCAGCCAATCAACACAGTTCACCCTCACCCTTTGCACAGATCCCTGGTACTCAGAGTCTCAAACGGCCAGCACCTGCACTGGGTATGGCTGAGGGCTTACAGGTAGTCCAAAAAGTCAAGCTCGGTGATGGTGGTAGCCAGGGTCAAGTTCATTGCAGTGACTTCGATGGACTTTATTCAACCATCATACAACTAGCCGTAAGTCACTATCAGTGTATCCTTACCAATAGTTTGATTTATCTCAATGATGTCGTCGAATGTCGGGACTGGTCCGCTGAGGCATGGAATGCAGCCTGTTGTGCCAATGGAGTCAAAGTTGAATACGATGAAGATGCATACAAACTGGTATGTTCTCACATTTCAGATACTGTTGTTTAGTTGCTTGTTGTCCCACAGATCACATCACGCGGCTCAAATTTACGGAGTGAACTCAAGAACCTCATGCGCCCACTGGTTGAAGCCAATTTTGGCTTCGTCAATGAAAAGACACCAGTGATAGTTAAGGTGAATGCTACACTAGCAGCAGCTGTGGTGGAGAATCGTAAAATTTTGATGTATAAGGTATGTTGATTTGAGTAGCTGGCACAAGGCACTCATGGCTAGCAATAGGACTGTCAGGCGTGCAAAGGTGCTTACGAGACAGACATCATTCTGAAAGGAATGATCAAGTGGTGTTATGACAAGAAATCTTCGACAGGTGTCAAATATCCAACCTACTTCAAGGATGCAGAGAGTGGCAGCACTATGTTTGGGATTGTTGTGGCACTGTTAACCGTGGTGAGTGTGTCTAGCTGACTCAGAGACTTGCGGCATTGATTGCTATTAGGTCGAAGTGTGCCTCATGGAGTGGATAACTGGAACGAGGGTGATCAAGAAGTTTAACAAGGAGCAGTATGTGTCCATGTTTGGGGCTCACTATGAACTATTAGTGCACTTTCACGAAGGCACCAAGCAAGCCAACATCGTGCCGAAAATTTGCAAGAGGCTTTTGAAGCATGCTTGGTAAGTACAACTTCGATCCTATTATCTACAGAGTCTTACTATCATACACCAGTCGTCATGCAAGTGTTCCTGATGACCCGATTGCTGCAGGATCCATCCAACAATTCACAATGGATGAGTCTGCAGCTGCAGCTGCTGAATGGGAATGTCGTGAGGAGTCTGATTCAGAGGGTGACAAGATGTAGGCAAGAGTGTGCCAGTGTATGGCCTGTCGTCTTAAGGTACAATATGTACAATGACAATGCAAATAATGTTTTTCGAGTCTATTGGATGGAGCTGCGTGTATTTGAAGGGGTGAATACAATGCCTAAGTACCTAAGCCTACCTGCCAATCCAAAGCCAATGCCTATGTAAAAAAATGCCCACCATGCCCATCAGGAACCTATGGTAGACAGGGCCTGTATACATATCCCGGACTTACCTAGAGTGATAACCAGCCTACATAGGCTACATAGGCTCGCATAGGCACCGTTCTTTTTCCTGATATATCTTCAGTGAGTAGTGATGGAAAAATCCAGTTCGGTCCGGTTCTCCAGGAAATTAGGAGAACCGTGGACCAGACCATCGGTTTGGTCCGAAAATGGTCCGGTTCTGGTTCAGTGAGGGTTTGAACTGAGAACCGGACCATCCAAACTATATATAAAAATTTCGTCAAGAAAAATTATATTGAAACACGCCCAACAACAGATGCATTATGTAATACTAAATGCTACTTTCACTCACTTAGTACTCATGCTCAGCACTTGCACTCTCCTGGCTTGCATTGGCACCTGCATGTTCTGAATCAGACCCAGGCATCATACAGGAGTAGTCCAACGACGTCCACCTGCTTGTCAGGTACCCCATGGTTTTTTCAATGGAGTCTCACCAGCTTACATGTGTCATCGCTATCACTTCAATTTCATTTTCTTGACCTCTTTGTTCTCAGTCCTCTGCACAAGGCCGTTCCCACTCCTCAGAACCGCAAAGAAGCACACTTCTCAGGCATTTATTCCACTGCCACCACAGCTCATCCAGTGCCCATGATACAGTTACTGGTGATTCTACCCTCGTTTATGCTGATGCATTCTGAACTGTTCTTTTTGCATTATGTATGACATGGATACCAAATGTTTTGTCATCTCTGCCTATAAGTACTACACTTAAACTACATACTGACTTGCCATTGGTTCGAACAGGTTCGAACCTGTTCAGAACTGGTTCTGCAATTCTGCACGTCCCCGAACCACGGACCGGACCAACGGTTCGGTCCTCCCTATTGCCCGAACCTTGAACCGGACTTCGGTCAGGTTCGAACCGCGGTTCAGAACCGGACCTGGCTATCACTATCAGTGAGATGTGACAGATTATCATTGATCAAAACATTCAGCTCTCCATCTCTTAAATTTAAACTGGCGAAATAAAATAATAACAGCAAAAGGCATCTCCACCAATCACATGAGTTCGTTAGTGAGGTCGTAAGTGTTCATTTCAGTCGTTTTGCAGATGTATCTGCGGGGGTTTGCCGTGTAAAAGTAAAATATTACATAATGTGCTGTGCTTCGACGCGGAGTTGCTGGTGCTCTTTACAACTCACCTCCTCCCAAATCGGCTTGGTTATTATCGTCGCGGATCTCAGTGTCTTGTTATTATAGCCTATGATTAGATTGTATCTTCCCTGATTAAATTCTGCATGAACATTCTAGGGTCATCAATTACCATGCCAAACAATCATGTCCACTTTAAACTTTGGATTGCCTTATTTCTAGGGTGAAGATCCGGACTTGTATTCATTATCTGACTATCATAGGCAGTCTGGCTGCCCACGCATATAATGTCTAGGAAAGCACTCTTCTTACTAATATCTCATCGCTCACTACACGATCTCTTACTCTTCCTCAGCTATCCGCATGCTCATATTCACCAGTGTTATTTGGCTGGACCTATGTCTGGCTAGCGCCGCAGCCTATATGGTCAAGCAGTTATTCGGCAAGAAGAACCCTGCACCATATCCCCCTGGACCTCCGGGGTGGCCTCTCGTTGGGAACATCGCAGACATACCTCACAACAAGGCCTGGCTTACCTTTGCAAAGTGGGGCAAAAAATATGGCGAGTGCCTCATGTTTCCTAGCACGATTTATTTTAATTACATGCTGTGCAGGTGACATCTTGCATGTCGACGTTCTGGGTCGGCACATCATTGTACTGAATTCTGTCAAGGCAGCGATGGAGTTGCTAGACAAAAAAAGCTCTATCTACTCTGACCGTCCAGTTTTTACAATGAGTGGTGAACTTGTTGGCTGGAAGGACAGTTTGGCTTTTCTCTCTTATGGTGACCGTTTTTCGCTATTACCGCAAGAACATCTACCGCGTCATTGGCAGTCGCACCGCTGTAAATGTCTACGAACCGAGTGAGGAGATCGAGGTTCGCCGATTCCTGAAGCGCGTGTTTGCACAACCTGAGCAACTGGACGCACATATCCGACAGTATGTAGTATTTGTCATTGCACGAATGAGGTCTTGATTTTTTTCCAGCACCGCTGGCGCTATCATTCTGCGAATCTCTTATGGATATGAAGTGAAGGATAACAATGATCCTTTCGTCGATCTGGTAGGCCGTGCAATGCACCATTTATCGCAGGCTGGCGATACTGGTGCCTTCATGGTGGACATCATGCCATGGTGTAAGACTGCAGCGTTCTGACGTTTGTTGTGAGCTGAATATCTCTAGTGGCCAATGTTCCCGAGTGGTTTCCTGGTGCTGGATTCCAGTGCCCTGGCCCGTGAATGGCGCCAGACCCTCAAAGAGACTGTTGATGCACCATACAAATTCGCCAAAGATCAGATAGTAACATCAACATCTACAATTTGATGATCACGGGTTGAACATATTACAGGCTGCCGGAATTGCCCCAATGTCTTACGCCTCGAATCTGTTGAAAGGTCGTACCTTGTCTGCGGAGGAGGATCACATGGTGAAATGGTCTGCTCAATCCCTATACGCCGGTGGTGCCGACACGGTTAGCTTCTCCCAGACTAATCAGCATATTTTCAAACTAACATCTGTTTCCACAGACAGTTTCTACAATTTATTCGATTTTCCTGGCGATGACACTGTTCCCTAATGTGCAGAAGAAGGCTCAGGCTGAAATAGATGCTGTTGTTGGCACTGACCGTCTTCCCTCCTTCGCAGACCGCGACTCCCTCCCCTATATTGAGGCCCTTGTGAAGGAATCACTGCGCTGGAATGTTGTCGTCCCTGCAGGTATGTGTTTATCGTATTCTTTTCATTGCAGAGCAGTATCAATCACCTAAAGACAGGTGTCGTCCACTGCGTCTCTGAGGACGATATCTATGACGGGTACTACATTCCGAAAGGATCCATGATCATGCCTAACATCTGGTTAGTGCTCGCATTTATGTAGATTCGACATGATAGAATTCCACGCCAGGTCCATGCTCAATGACCCGCAGACATATGCTAACCCCTCGCAGTTCAACCCTGAACGTTTCTTAGATAATGATGGAAGGGGTCCCGAGCGCGAGCCTCGCACGATCAGCTTTGGCTTTGGTAGACGGTACGCATGGAGCTGATTTTGAGTGAAATGCTAACTTCCTGCTCCGCAGGATTTGCCCAGGTATGTTCAACTCACAGAGGCACTCTCGAGAAAACAGTATTGTGATGTTTGCTTGCTTTTGATGTGCAGGTATCCACCTTGCTGACGCTTCCATCTGGATATCTACTGTGATGTCGCTCGCTGTGTTCGATATTTCCAAGATCGTCGAGAACGGCGTTGAGCAAACCCCCGAGGTTGACTTCTCATCAGGCTTGGTCAGGTATGTGGCGCATCCTATCGCGATCGTAGTGCTTGTTTGAATAGACGTACTCCCAGTCACCCCAAACCCTTCAAGTGCTCTATCAAGCCTCGCTCTGCGAAAGCTATTGAGCTCATTCAGCAGGATGTTAACTATTAAAGGCATGAAAATGATTCTTGTTATTTAATTATGTCATGCATCCCGAGTCATGCATATCTTCTCACCATGCCGAATCAATGTTACTTATGTCAATGGACACCCATAATGCGCGTGGCAGGTACTTCGACAACACAAGGATGCATTGTCTGTTGTGAGAGTTCGAGTTCATCGTTGGTGCGGGGTTGAGAGCGAAAGAGTGAGGATAGCTGGTCGACGTCTCGCGACTAGGAAACAAGATTAATGATGTATCGAAAGGCATAACAAAATCACTAGAAGCAAAGATATAGTTGTGCATATGCTGCAATGCTAGCTCTGACTGTATTGATGACCACGAGTTTGTGGTGGAGATGCACAGCAGAGAAATAGTACGATCAAAGCCCACCAGGGAATGGATGGTGGTTGTGTGGGTGCTGTACCTGGAGCAGAAGATGTCGCGGATGTCGAGGCATCGGCAGGCTGAGTCTGCGATGATGACTGCTGGGCTTGGCCGTGCAACCGTTGCGAGAGTCACGAACTAAAAGAGGTTGTGGGATGAGGTTCGGCTTCTTCGTCAGCGCCGAGTCAAGGTCGAGGCAGGAATGAGGAAAGGGTAGACAGTAGCACACGAAAATCTGAGCGCGAAGGTGTGGAGAGTTGCTGGAGTTCGTTTGGTGCACCATGTTGGGGTCGAAAGCGCCGAAGGAGTGAAGAAGGAGTGCATGTAGATGGAATGCCGAAGGCCTTGAGGGTCGCGAAGGTTCTGTCGCGTCACTACTACTTTGGGGTCGAACACGGCGGAGGAGTGAGGAAAGGCGAGAGAGGAGCACATTGACAGAGGAATGGGGGGTGTGTACCATCCGTTGAGAACTGAGAGAAAAATGTCGGTGAAAGCTCATTGAGACCGTCAAACTGGTCATGACAACATGTAGCGTCAGCCTAGAATGATACTGTAATAATGAATGAGAAGAATTGTAAACATGGCACGTACTTCCAAAAACGACTTGCCATCGAGCGAAGAGCGGGGTGTGTGCTGTACTGCTGAATCGTCTTAAGACGTCTTCTGTTTGAGTCTGTCTTTTGGTGCCTATCGGCAGAGTCGGGCAGACATTGTCGGTGAGAAAGAGCGGGTGGGTGATATGTCGACACTCACAAGATTGGTACCAATAGTCAGTAAGTCTTTTAGGTCAACTTCGTTGAGGATGATATGAATGACCCATGCATGTGCGTTGCTGTTCTTGCAACCGGTGACTATAACTTTTCCGTCGAGGGAAAGGGCTGCAGAGTGCAAATCATTGACTTATTCATGCTGGAGGGGTGGACCAACTTGGAGGTTGGTGTCAAGATTCCATAGACGCGCTGTTTTATCCTGTGATGTACTTGCAAAAAGGCGGTTGTTCTGATACAAGGAGATGGCGTAGACAAAGTCGGTGTGACCTTCAAGGATGCTGCTGCCCAGTGGCAGTGTCGAATATGCTAATCAAGCAATATGAACCAGTGATGAGCGCTTGAGCTTCTTTCCGTCCGATACTCCACACCAAGCTGCGGACTCTTGCTGTCCCATCGCAGGATCCATTCGCTACTCGCTCACCATCTCCACTCCAGTACAATGCACACACAACATTGGTGTGTCCCGTCCAAATCGCAATGGCATTTCTGTCCTCGACGTTCCACAACCTGACTTTCCCGTCATCGCTTGCGCTGGTTACTGTTTTTTTTATTCGGAGACAATGCTATGGACTGCACTGTGCTTCCCTCGTCTCTCCAGTCTTTGCCTGTCCGTGTGCCGCTTTCTAGGTCTCATAGTCGGAGTGAGTCGTCCAACGAACATGTGATGACGTGTCGTCCGCCAGGTAAGTACACGATACCATTTACCCAGCTGGTATGGCCTCGCACCGTCTGGGATGGCGTGATTACTAGAGTCTTACTGGTAGAGGAAGACATGGTCCGTGCTTGAAATCTGAACTCTTGCAGTCTACTCCGCACGCTTCTTCCGGCTCATCTTCGAGCTCTAGCATTCGATCTTAACAATGACGCTTTAACTGGGTATAAGAAGGTATCGCAAGCTGACATATAGAGCCGATGCATATAGATAAACATTTGGACAACCTACGTGATCATTCACCTGCCAGTCCTAGTGAAAATCAGATGTGGCCATTTCCACGAGCTGCCACGCAGATGTACTGGTACTGTTGCTATGCGTATGACCATCAGCAATATTATACTCACTAGATCTAAAAGCTCGCATACCTATTTTTTTTCACCAACATGGGTGTTCTGTTACAAGCATTTGCCATTTACTTGGTGGAACAGGGTTTTACGACAAATTCTCGAGAGAAGGATGAACGTTGGTCTGCTCCTCTACGACTGTGACACGCTCCCGACAGACTCCGCTCCGAACATGGTCAAACATTGCCGCTACCTCGTCTACACCCCCAGGGGTCCCTACTCCATTGGTACCAAGAAGACACGCGTATACGAAACTATCAATATGGAAACAACGGACCTCGCGGCCGATATTGCAATCTCAGTATAGACGATATTACTTTTCTCACTGTTACCCTTTGTCGAAATCCCACTCTCGACGAGCTACAGCACGAGTTACGGGAACACGCAGCGGTGTTTTGGTATCTGTACGCACTTTTTGTTCCCGCTTTCGTGGCTGGCAGCATTTCCCTAAGAATTCCGTTCCTTCATTAGAAGACTGGTGGGTGAGCCGCAGATATCGTCATATATGCCGATATATAAAAATATTTTTGTTATATTGAAATACAGTATGGCAAAGTCCCAACGCTATGTATAGCGTCGGAAAACCACCGTAATGCACCTAGCTGGGAGACTCGCGAAATCTCTGAGGTCTTGCCTCGTGGTAGAAACAGGCAATTCGAACTCATGTCAATCAAGATCTTGACCTTTTAAATTTTGAGTTTCTCGGACATGATCTACTTCACCATCTCGACATGATTATTAACGTTGTTGTACGTTGTACTCTGCTTCCGTGCGATTATTATTAGATCACCTGAATCATCATTGCCGTTGCATCAAATTGAATGATGATCCAAGTACCTGCGTGAACTTGAGCACCAGGAAGGTAATTGACAGTGTACCTTTTCTTATCTGTAACCTTGTAGAGTGATTTATCGTACCTCGCAAGCATAGAGGTCAAGGTAATTGGGCGTTGGGAGGTGAACAATGACTTGTTTAACTTCGAGTTGACTTTGGTTTTGCAGTTTTTTTGTATATGTAACAGTCACCTGGGCTTGTTTCCGGTCAGAGGGTGCTTATGGGGTCCTGTGGACCTGATTGATGATCGTCACATGCAATGCCTTTCACTGCTAGTCCCCAATTGGCATTCGGGTCCGAGCATTTCTTTTGCTAGGAACGTTACCACTAAACTTGAAGTAGCTGCATCATGATGCGAACGATTCAGAGATGGGACTTGACTAGGACTCCTTGAGGACTCGCAGATGCGCTCTAGTTGCTTCTATTGGTGCCATGGTTTCTTCCTTCTGCACAGGCGGAAGAACACTGTTTCAAAATAGGAGGCCGGTCACCTTGGGCTTGGGAAAGTTTTCCATATTTAGTTATGGCGACGAGTACGTACGCTTCACTCATCCTTCCTGCTCTAGATCATGCCAGTCCTCGGCCTTCGGATCAAGTAACGATGCGTCTCTCACTGCAGGCAAACATATTTCAGGCTTAGGCTGTGGCAAAATACTAGTATATACTACGGCCAACAAGGAGCACGTCAGCTTCATGCCGAATTAGTAGATGGGCTAGCGTGATGAATCTTGATGTGATACCTTATCCGAACCAACCTCGGTCACGTCCATTTCATTACCGAAGCTGCCGCTGCGGTGCAATTCCAGTTAGTAGAAATGCCTGCTCTGCCTGATGGACCTCCACGTTCAACTCCCCCTCACTCTCCTGTCAAAATGACTTTCCCCGCTGTCTTTGCAACTAACGAGAGTCGTGAGTGCCCCTCATTACTTTTCTTGACGAGTCTTCCAACTAAGCGTGTGCTTAGCGGACCCAAATCGCATTGGCCCTTACAACTATGTCCCTACGGAGTGGATATGTATCCTTGTGAGTGATGTTGTTTAATCCTCTCTCATCCACTTCAAATTCCTTCCTTAGTTCATAGCGTTGTACGGCATTTCGACTGGTATGAATTTTTACTATCGACTCTACTCGATCATGACTTGACGTCTTCAGTCCTCCACTTGGGCCAGGCACTCAAATCTAGACTATGGTGGATGATTCCAACTGCGACATTGGCCGGTGTCCTGGAAGTACTCGGATGGAGCGCCAGGTTATGGTCCAGCCAAAACCCGAAACTTTTAACCCCTTATGAGATGCAGTGAGTGTTCAATCAGAAATATTCATTCCCAATCCCACTCAAACGTTTCCACTACAGGCTCGTCGGCACTATCATTGCACCCACCCCGCTTGTCGCAGCTAACTTTATCATCCTTGGCAAGATAATCAACCAAGTTGGACCCCAGTACAGCCGTCTAACCCCAAAGTTATGTTAGTGATGCTCTGATACTGTTAGCATTCAGTTACTGATCTAGTGCAGACACCATCATTTTTTGTTCCTTTGTTAGTATTATACATTCGAGTATTGTTCATCTTTCATATCTTTTTTTTTAACTCTTAGGATGTTGTTTGCTTGATCGTACAAGCTCTTGGAGGTGCATCCGCTGCGCGCGCCGTTAGCCAGGAAACAAGTGCTGCAACGGTATGTCCATTATCCATTATTTCTTATAACACTTGCTTCATAAAGTCAGGGTGCGAACATTATGTTAGGAGGAATTGCGGCCCAGCTCTGTGCGTAACGAGGGTCTTCCAATATTTTCGCTCTCATTGCTTACCCTTCGCTCTCTAGTTGCTATAGTGGTCTACGTCTCTTTGGCGTCCGAGTTTTTCTTGCGTTTGAAATATGATGCACCCTTCCGCCACGTTGAGCAGCCCCGCGTATTGGAGAAGGGTCAACGTGCGGTGAGCAAGAACTTGCGAGTTCTGATTTTTGCCATGTCATTCTGCACTCTCTGCATCTTCATTCGGTTAGCGCCCAACGCATCTTCTTACCGGCAGTTATTGATATGCTTAATTCATCACTAGTTCCATTTATCGTACTGTAGAGCTCGCCGGCGGGTGGTTCGGACCAGTGATCACGACTCAGCGCTACTTCGGTACGTCATCATCCGTTTCGCTGGGAATACCTTTTTATAATGCTCTATTATCGATAGATTGGCTCGATGGTGCCATGGTCACTCTCGCTATCTACACCCTCAATTTCTTTCACCCGGGTAACTGGCTGAACAAAGACGTCCCGACCGCTCATCTTTCAGAACGAGTAGCCGATGAAGAAGCCGCTGACGAAGATGCTGCGATTTAGGTTTTAGCGATTACATGTACATCGGCTCTGCTCATCATTTAGTTATTAATCTGTCAACGCTTCTCGGATAATTCTTACTCGGACAGATATTGGACGGCGTGTTTTAGCGATAAGCTTTTCACATACGTAGATGTTGAAACTTGACGCCATATATACCCATTCTCGCTGGAACCGAAGCTTAGTAATTGTGTGTGGCTGTGCTCTGAAGACATGATGTCATCTACACTTCCGCTCATCCATGTCGCCCCTTTGCATATATGCTGGCAGCCATGGTTTTTTATATTCTTCTCAACTATTTTCACAACTACTGTCACTCCAAAAATCAAGTAAAGATCCACATTCATCATTCTACCATGTTCCATAACTTCATCAAAAGTATTGTCGACTCATCGTTGAGTTGCGCAGAAAAGCTGCGTGATAGAAAAAAGGTGAGTCGTCGAACTCTTGGTTATCGAAAACTTCTCATTCTCTCTAGGCTCTATTTGAGTTTCAAGTGGGCGTTCATGGCGATTTCCACAGGGGAACTGTGTTATCAGTTTCTCCTACACCCCCTTCTACCCCACCTCTGCCGTCCCATCACTTCTCAAACACCGACGCACCTCTGTCCTCGATCAATGACACGACGGAGGATGCTGTTTGTTGTGGACAAATGCCCCCTCGGATCCGAACACCTACCCTTGAAGGCATGCCCGATGAAATACAATGCCACATCCTCGGGTTTCTTTCATATAATGAAATTATACGATGCGCTTTGGTGAGTCATTGATTCGTTTCCATTCTTCAGACTCATGTACTGATCTACCCATTACAGACCTGCCTGACACTATACAACACGGTCAAATGCTCTGTTGAACTACAGTACACCATCGAACTCGGTGCTCAACGGCTGGTCGAAGTCCATCCGCGGTCCCCTACTGCCTCTTTAGCAGAGTACTTGCGTATTCTCAGAAAAAAGGCAAACGCATGGAACGATTTCAAACCCATTGCTACGGATGCGTTTCGCGTCAAGACCTTGTTCGGCTTGAACTCGGTCGTTCATCGAAATGTCATCTCCTGCACGCCGTCCGTGCACGTCGACGCTGCGTCCAACACTGTGGATATCAAGACCAACAGCACGTGTTCTGTAAAACTCGCGATGAATCCCAATCCAGTTCCGAATACCTACAGGTACTTGGACGAGTCGCAAGACGTCGAGGTCATCGTCACTTTTCCGATCGATGTCGACTCTGATGGATTCAAGTACCGAATATCCTTTCGTTCGATATCGACGGGGGAGGAGCATCCTTTGTCGCATGGATCGCGTGTGGTGAGCGGGAGAGCCGCTTGCTGTGAAGCTCAGTTCATCAAAATCGCTGTCGCTGTCTTCGATGATCGCCTCGCAGTCTATATCGCTGGGCTCGACGAAAACAGGGACCCGTGCTGGTCGCTGCATGTATTGAGTTGGAAACAACCTAGTCAAGCCGATGTGAGTATCTCATATCTTTTGCTTCCGGTTTGATTTGAGCATTTAGCAGGACTTATGTGCGATCGGCGACGGAAATGAGCTCCTGGACATCCGTTTTCTCGTGAAGGAAAAGCTTATAGCTCTCTCTACAGACGGTCATATACACCTCTACGACACTGAGGACCCGTCAAAGGCGCCGCGGCTCCATGCAAGATTCATGCTACCCTTCCATGGCAAGTTGGGTGTATTCGATCACCCGTCGAGTTTTCATAGTGCCGCAAGCTGTACACCAGTCAACCATTGGATCTGGGCAACAAACCCTGCAGATCGAGTCATATCCGTGACATGGGCCGATCCCTCGTCGATTTATATCGTATCTGCTCGCATATTTTTCATGGACGTTCCTTCGACATGGTTTGACGCGACGTCAGAAGATGGACGGTCAGTCAAATGGTCATCGTGGGGTCCACAAAACTCTCGTCTCGTCCCTGACGAAAGGTTCGACATGCAAAGGCGGTGCTTTTTTGGAGTGGGAGGATCTCGCGTTATATGGGCGAGTCCTGTCGCGGGTCGAAGTGATTCGTCGTTCCAGCTATGCATGACCGACTTCAATCCCTCGGCCGTGGCGCGTGGTATCGGCAAGGTGATCCGCGAGCCTACAACATTGTTAGGTCTCCAACCGGACATGCAGGTGACGACGTACCTCCCTTTCGTGGAGGTGTCGCATGACAGAGCTTTCGACGCCCCCCTTTGGGATATCAAACTCGACGAGGAGACGATGGTGATGTTCACCCGATCAACTATCGAGTCTGTAAGTGTGTTTGCCTTCACAACGTTCAGTCATCTCATTTGATATATCAGGAGTGGAAAATGCAGGCGGACGTCTTTGAAATGTAGACTGGTCATAAGCGTATACGAGAGAGCTTTGTCCGTCATTGTGCAATTCTTCTGTTGGGCACGTTGATGCATACTACAAACGTAATTCCGAGCCGTGTATCAGTATCCCTGTTGACAAACCCATTCAAATTTAAGATGCACTTTGCTCATCCGCTGCTGCTCCCTATGATCGAAATTGATGATATCGTCTTGCACAGACACGGTCATCAGAAGCGCGCATCATAAATTGCCACCTATACATTCGCCAAGTTGTCGTCTCTGTTTGAGAAAACGTCCTGGGGTCTCAGAGGAACGGAGATATAAGTGAAAGTTTGCGGTAGACAGTGAATTTTAAATTGCGAGGTCAATCATAAACTTGAAGGTAAGCTGCACTACTGCATGTGTAATGTAGTGGTCAAGTCATGATCAACCCAACATGTGCAAGTGAACTTCGTCTTCTGGAAACGACATGTTTTGAAATTGGTAACATAAGCAAAATCGTTTTCTGATCAAGAATTTTGTGTCCAGCACGGCCCTTCATATTGGTGTGCTAACTACAATACGAGTCCAATCACTCTGAGACTCGCATGTCCTCTTCAACCTTGGTTGGCCACTTCCGCCGTAGACCGATATACCAAGCGTCTATATTGTGCCAAACCGGAAATACACGTGTACCATGACCTGAACCCTATCCACAGTCCCCATATCCTTATCCCACTTCTTCCCTTCCCTGGCACTCATTCCGTCCACCACTCAGCCCATCCTCGATCCTCGATCCTCATCAAATCACTCCATCACACCATCATGCCTGGTAGCTCAGAACACCGATACATCAGACTTGAAGGCGAGTCTGTCTATATTACCTTCGTATCTGTTTCATGATCCTCATACTCTATCTACAGTCATCAGCGGAAAGAATATTCGAGTCCCCTCCTGGCGCATGCCGGCTGGCATTTACATATCTGTCAAAGTCGACTCGAGGAGATGCTGGAAATCGGTCAGTAGTGTCTTATCATCTGATGAATCTGTAGCGTGGGGGAATGCTGTAACTTTGTAAAGTTCATGTAGACTTTCTGACACGATGGGAGAGCTGATCTTTGGTTCATAGATCGTCACATGCCTCACCTGCGTTGTCAGTGGAGATCAGGGCGTCCTTTGAGCTTGGTCGAATGCTAGGCGGTGGAGAGGTCATCGGGGAACTTGAAGTGCCGTGGGATGAGCTCCTCGATCACGGAGATGAGCCATTCGGTCAGTGATTCGCTTTTCATTCATGCATATATGCTAGATATCTGTAGATCTATCCTTCCCATCCCGCATGAGTGTCTGTCCTTCCCTCACGCTGAAGACCGATGTTGTACATGCTAGCGACGATCAGGATGGTGCACTGTTTGATGTGAGCGACCACGGACACTGTTCTGTTAACTTTTTCTGACATAATGCCAACTGTAGTGCCTCATAGACTGCGAGATTGCTCGAGACACAGATGCGGGCCACGCACAATTCGCAAAATATGTGACGAGCGAGATGGTCTCTCACCTGAACAATGCTGTACAGCATTTTCAATTGGTTCTGGACAAGTGTCCGGTCAGCCATCCAGACCATGCAACAGCTCTCACCAACCTCGCGTGGGCCCGCCTTAGAGGCTACGGCCGAGATGATCTTCAAGACATCGATGCCACCACTTCCCTCTTCCGCGACGCCCTTGCATTGCGTCCGCAGCCCCATCCCGATCATCCCTTATCTCTATATAATCTCACCCTAGCGCTGAATTGGCGCCACAACAAGACACGTACTGCTGCCGACATCCGCGAATCCGCCCAACTCTATCATGAGCTACTGCCTCTCTGTCCAGAGGGCACCTACCTTCGTAGCATCGCGGCAGGGGAAAATGGTGTCGATTATGTGATCGACTGCTGCAACGATCTTCCAAGAGACGCATCTGATGAAGGCATCCACCTTCGAAGAGTCGTCCTCGAGCTCTGTCCTCTGGGCCATCGCCTTCGTCCCAGAGCCCTCAACAGGCTTGCAGGAGCAGTTAAAGCACGCTTTATTCAGCATGGCAGCATCGATGATCTTGACACGAGCATACAGCTTGGTCGTGAAGCTGTGTCTCTGTGTTCCAAGGAACATGATGGCTACCTGAATAGTTTGGCTTCCTCCCTCTATTTGCGCTTCAAACACCAAGGCAACCCTAATGACCTCGACGAGGCCATCTCTCTGCATGAAGAAGCGCTGCGCCTGCGCCCTGTTGGGCACAATTATCGAGATAACTCATTAAACAACCTAGGGGGCGTCCTCCTCGACCGTTTTATAAAACGCGGCGACATTGATGACATTAATCGAGCTATTAGCCTCCTTCGTGAGGCACTGATGTTGTGCCCACTTGGGCATCTAATCCGTGACACCACACTTCACAACCTTGCCCTCGCGCTCAAAATCAGATATGACAAATCGCATGTTAGCGAGGATCTTAACGATGCCATTGACCGGTATCGCGAATCCCTTCAGTCAGCACCGCTCGACCATCCAGAGCGCCATATAAATCTTTACAATTTGAGCTCGGCGCTCTGCTCTCGTTTCACACAATCTCAGAAGAATGAAGATGTCGAGGAGGCCATCACTCTTTGCCAAGAATCGTTGGCGGCTCTGTCTTCACTGCACCCGGACAGGTATTTCACCTACAGGTTCATGCAGAAGGCCTATTTGTCTCGTTATGAGATTCTCCACGACCCGGCTGATTTGTCGCTCGCTATAGAAAACTTCAGACTCGCTTCAAGGCACCCTACTCAAGGATTCCCAGGACGCATCAATCGGGCATATCATTGGACCATTGCGGCGGAGAAGCAAGGTCATGCTTCCGCGCTGGAAGCTTACATGACATTTTTGGAGCTTCTTGATGGTCACTTGGCGACGCGATCATCCACCATCTCACGGCGCGAAGCTGCCGCTGCCTTCCATTATGCCAGATCACTGCCTGTCGATGCAGCATCATATGCCACCCGCTGTGGCAACCTCCAACACGCAGTGGAACTGGTGGAGCAGGGCCGTGGCCAGCAATGGTCTCTAGCATCTCGACTCAGGACTCCAGTTGAAGCCCTTGAGTCGGCAAATCCGACACTAGCCCACAATTATTTACAGCTGAGCAAGCGCGTCTCTGATGCCGCGCAGAGTTCTGCAACCATCTCCGATCGCGATAGAGCTGCTGTTGATCGGGCAGCGACAGAGTATAGGATACTCACAAGGCAATGGGAAGCTGCTGTGGCAAAAATACGCGATCTTCCAGCGTTCTCGCGATTCTTGCTTCCACCTTCATACAAAGACCTCCAAGAGGCAGCGCGCCAGGGCCCGGTCATCGTCCTCATTGCGAGTCAACACTCATGCAGCGCCATCATTGTCCCGACGTCAGGAGACCCCCACCACGTTCCCTTTCCGTCTGTCAGTCTCGCAGCTCTGACAAAACTCAAGGATCGCTTTACCCAGGCAATACGAGACGCATCTAGGATGGACCCAGCAGAGCCGAGGAAGGATCTAATAGTGCTCTTGCGGATAATATGGGAGGAGATCATGCTACCCGTCGTCAACGTACTTGAGCACGTTCTGAAACTAAAGCCCCGCTCTCGAATCTGGCTATGTCCGACTGCAGCTTTCACGTCCATTCCTCTCCATGCAGCTCACCCCTTCAAGACAAAACCAGATCGTTCTAAGGAGCCATGCCTGGAGGATCTCTACATATGCTCTTACACGCCGACACTTTCGGCTCTGGTGAGATCCAGACAGTTGATGAAGAAACGTGTCCCTCCGTCCTTCGTGGCGGTCGGACAAGGTCAGCCGGGTGCAGGGAAGGGCAAGGCACTGCTGGCCGTCGACAGCGAGCTCGAGCTTGTCCATAAGCTCGTTCCTGCGACAGCCAACCGCACCACTATCTCTGGCGACGCAGCCACACGAGCAGGTGCACTGGAAGCTTTGCAACAAAACAACTGGGTGCACCTCGCTTGTCATGGCAAGCAGGATCCTAAGCAGCCTTACCATTCGCATTTCGTCATGAGAGACGAGGATCTGACGCTGCTCGATATCATGGAGAGAGACATTCCTCACGCCGAGTTCGCGTTTTTATCAGCGTGTCATACTGCTGTCGGCGATGAGGAGACGCCCGACGAAGTGATTCACCTCGCAGCTGGTCTCCAGTTTTCAGGGTTCAAGAGCGTGATTGGCACGCTGTGGCAGGTGGACGACGCTGTCGCAAAACACGTCGTCAAAGCCTTCTACACGAGTATGTTCGAACATGTGAAGGACGGTGGTGTGATGGACTGTACGAAGGCAGCCTGGGCACTGAATCGTGCTACGCACGCCGTGAAGACGAAAGTGCCGCTCGAGCAGAGGATGGTTTTTGTTCATATCGGTGTGTAGTTCTACATCGTATTGCTTTCGTCTGGTACATATATTGCATGTTGATGATTTGCGATCCTCTTTCATTATGCTGTACACATGACTTTGATATATTTTTACGCTCTAGCTATCTGGTTTTTATATCTACTCAGGTTGTGTTTTTGTTGACTGGAATGTTTTACCAAAGTTCTTGTGTGCTCAACTCGTTCATAATTTCGTTTTTCACCTGAGTACCTAGTAGAGACGACTTGCGCTTTCCGGTAGTAGGAATCCTTCAAGTTTAGTGTCCAACCCTCTGGCTTTCTGCACTGTACAACCTCGACAAACCACCACCGATGCGATCAATGCCGAGTTAGAAGCAAGGTCAAGTTCAAGTTAACAGCAAATCCCGGCTGACTGCTTTGACTTGTGATTCGTACGTGTGTTGCTTGCATCCGCGTTGACAGCAGTCCTCATCAGGCTGCCAATGAGAGATGCATGAGTTGTGTTGCGATGCGTGTCATGCCCTCAGGACTACTTTTAATGCGACGATCTCACTCCAAAGATATGGCAACATTCAATATTCATTTTCTATGGTAGCGCACTCATAATTTAATATGTACACGTACTTGTGAGGGGCTCATCATTCTCCCTGTACCTCCTCGACTCATCCTCAAGCCCTCTACCCGTTGACGTTATAATGAAGTCGCCCCTCCCAGATGTATGTCCTTCATGGAAGGTGAGCCCACCGCGCACCTGCAGGATTTTGGTCAGTTCTGCTCATGGACTTGAAATGAATTTGTTTAGGAGTACAGTACCTGCCTGCTGCGTGCTTGGACATTCCTGCCATGGGTCAAAATGCCTATGTTTCCAAGGGGCGTATGCACTACAAAGCGTCCACACAAGCCAACATACGTTTATTTCATAGGTGGCATATTTTCGGGCCAGGATGTAGTGTGAATGATGGGCATTTTCATGCACTTTCTCGCATCTTCAACAAGTAGAAGTTTTTGTTCATTTTTTCTTCTTTCAGCACGCACTAAGTCACCAAAAGTGCTCAGATGGCACAGCTGACTCCAACCCGTTTAAAAAGTACGTTCCAAGATACTGAAATACTCACCACAGTCCCCATGCTAGGCACGACGCTCGGGTCGAGCACATCGACATCAAAACTCAGGTGAATATGAAGGTATCTGCGGGTTGACATGGTCGAGCGCCAATTTGACCACCTTGCCAATGTCATAGCTAGATAATTCTCTTCACTGTATCCCAAACTCACCAATCCACTTCGTGCGCGCTAAACACCTTGATTCTGTTTTTCTTCAAGATCTCCTTATTGCCTTTGTCGACATCCCTCGAACCGATGTAGACGGAACGCTCAGCAGGGTGAGACCCAGTCGACTTTCGCAAGGAACGAGTCTGGGGACGGAGCAGGGGGTTGAGCTTGAGGAGAACGGAGAGGGGCATGCCTTGTGGGATAGGCAACATATAGCGCTTTAAGGGTAGAAATTAGATGTTAGATGCACGAGATAAACGCAAATGAAGGACGGACTTTCGATCTGACAGATTGTTACTGCTATACTAATGTTCTTGATGAGAAGAAGCATCGCTGGTCAGAAAAAGAATGTTAGTGGCCGCCCCCTTAAGTTATGAGTTGCACTGGCCGTGATGTTGGAATGGAATGAGGTATTCTCAAATATGAATATGCTGGACGGTGAGATTTGAACGGTTGGTTCCCATCGTCCTGTTGGGTCGAGTTTGATAGACATGATGGAAATGCTTGTGGTACGGAAGGACTCAGTGACTTGAATAATATTCGTGCTGATGAATTCGAGTTAGGGGATTTCCAAAAACGTCTAACAAGTTTATGTTGAGCAACTCACCTTCGAGTCAGACAGACTGGCCGCAAAGCCGCCAGTGATGAGACAATAGGTGACGCAGATCGAGGATGAGAAGCGAAAGGTCTGAGTGTTAGTGAACCAGTCGTCTTGAAATTTAAGATGCACTTCGCTCATCCGCTGCTGTTCCCTATGATCGAGATTGATGTTATTGTCTTCTACAGAAGCGCGCATCCATAAATATCGGCATTGCCACCTATAAATTCGCCGATTTGTCGTCTCTGTTCGAGAAAATGTCGTGGGGTCTCAGAGGAACGGAGATATGAGTGAAAGCCTGTTCGTCGCGGTAGACAGTATGTTTGGTGAGACGTTCGAATTCTTGAATTGCGATGTCAAAACAATGTATGCTGCACTACCACATGCGTAATGTAGCGGTCAAGTTGTGATCAACCCAACATGTGCAATTGAGCTTCGGTCTTCTGGAAGCGTCGTGCAGAACGACACATTTGAAATTGATAATATAAGGAGTGGTTGTTTGTCAAGAGCCTTTCATCCAAACATCACGTGACGTACGTGCAAGAGCCTCCGAGGAGTCGTGCAAAATGTGTTCCCAAACTGTCAAGCCAGGACTCAGGTGACAGAAATGCTGGAACGTGCATGTACCATAAATATTACTACTAATACCCAGGCTTTCGTTGGTATGTAACTCCCACCCCCTCAGGCTTTCTTCAATCTTACTCCCACAACCATCGATATACTAAACCGGTGTAACGTTTTGTCATACCATGGCTCAGAAATATGCACCGTATGGCCTTTGGGAGTCTCCGATCACAGCTGATGCTATAGCTCAGGATGTGCGTTTCCCACATCGTCATTGATAGCTCGGCATCTGAAACTAATACACCGCAATCCTAGAGTGTCTCCTTGGCCACCATCTTTGTAGATCCAGTCACAAAAGATGTGTACTACATCGAACAGCGTGCATCTGAGGGTGGTAGATGCGTGCTTATGAGCAACCAGACTCAAAAGGAAGTCTTCGGCAAGGACTTCAATGCGCGCACGCGCGTTCATGAATATGGTGGAGGAGCTGCGATCGCTTATAATGGGACCGTGTACTCTTCAAACTTCATGGACTTCCGTGTCCATGCCGCGAAAGCTGAGATCATTAAACCAATCACACCAGGTGCCTAGGTAAATTCTTCGGACCATAACACCGTACTTACCACCCTGCGCAGAGGACCCAAACAAGATTTATCGTTACGCAGATTTCTGTGTACACCCGGTCCACACAGATCTACTCGTCGCTATCTTAGAAGACCATACCAACGACACGCCACGTACCGTGCGCAATTCCCTCTGCGTCATCAACTCCACGGCTGTCACTGTCACATCCTTGGTTTCCACCGAGGACGCACAGAATGAGTTCTATGGCGCACCGACATTTTCCCCTTCTGGTGATAAGCTCGCATGGCAGTTTTGGAAACACCCAGACATGCCTTGGGAGGGTGGACAGATTTATGTGGCTGACGTTCACTACAATTCCGACACCCATACACTTAGCTTAAGCAACGCGAAGCTAGTTGCTGGCGAAGCTAACAACATCGGCGCGTGTTACCCCTTGTGGGCCTCCAACGACAAGCTTCTCTTTACCTCCGACGAAAGCAAGTTTGCAAATCTCTGGGAGTATACTCAGACGTGTACCAAACCAGTTCTCTCATCTGTCGTGCAGCAAGACTTCTGCATGCCACCCTGGACGCTTGCAAATTACTCATTCGCTTTACTAGACAAGAATGGCACAAAAGTGATTTGTGTTGCATGGCGGAGCGGCCGAAGTGTCCTTTATGTGATTGATATTGTCGCAGGTTCCTACGTAGAGATCAAGGACGAATCGTTCGACTTTGTAATGGTAAACAATGTCTGCCGTCTATCGGACCACGCTTTCGTCTTTACCGGATGGCAAAGCAATGCTCCTGGCGCAGCGATGCTCTGTACTCTTACGGGACCATCACTCGTGCCAAATTTCCAGGTGCTCAGATCTTCCGCATCGACATCCGCTGCACCGTTCCCTGAGGGCATAATTTCGCTCCCAATCCCACTTGAACTAAAGGTGGCAGGTGACAAGATTGTATATGCCGTGTACTACGCCCCAAACAACCCAGCGTATGCGGGTTCAAGCATTCCCAACGAGAAGCCGCCTTGTGTCCTTGGCGTACACGGTGGCCCCACGGGATTAGAGCCCCAGAATTTGAGCTGGCTGAAGCAGTATTTCACAAGCAGAGGATACGCTTGGTAGGTCCTGTCGACTACCGCAGTGTCATCATGCTCATGACGTGCAGGTTGGATGTGAATTACGGCGGCTCTTCGTGCTATGGACGCGAATATGTGTACGTTGCCATTCGCCATTGTGTTTCCAATAGAACAATGCTGAAGATGTGACAAAGGGAGCGCCTCCAAGGGAACTGGGGTATCACAGACGTGAGCGACTGCATCGACGCAGTCAACTCACCCCAAATCTCTTCCCTCATCGACACCAAGCGGACTGCGATCCGCGGCGGGAGCGCGGGTGGGTATACTACCCTTGCCGCCATTTCCCTTGACTCCTCCGCAGCGAGCAAAACCAAATTTTTCGCGAGTGCGACGAACAGCTTCGGTATTTCAGAAATGGCGCTTTTTGCAGAAGATACGCACAAGTTCGAGCTCATGTACGTTATAAAGCTTCTTGGTGGTACAAAGGAAGAGATTCCGAAAGCTTGGCACGACCGGAGCCCGGTGTATTTTTCTGCAAACATCAAAACTCCGTTGCTCGTATGTTTATATCTCGATGACATGCGTTCTGTTGGGTAGATGATCTTTCCGACAGGTTCTTCAAGGCAATGACGATGCAGTTGTCCCGCCTGCACAATCCTGGACTATTATTGACGGAGTCCTTAAATCCAAGGGACATGTTGAGGCGCATTTCTTCGATGGCGAGCAACATGGGTGGCGCACATCAGGGACAATTAAGAAGGCGATTGAGTTCGAGAGGGAATGGTACGAGAAGACCATGGTGAGGCCCAATGTGGCAACTTGAACTATAGTATAGTAATATATTGATATTGTTGGTGTATGAACATCGGCGAATCAAGTACAAAAGTGCACATAGGGTTAGAAAACACCTTGACAGCATGACCGACCAGTGGCTATTTTATGAGCTAGGAGGATGATTCATTGCGAACTCATGTGGTGTTTGATACTGACTTTCAATTGATTATTGCCTTACTATAGGTGAAAGGCTGGAATTAATTCGGATGCTTGGTAGAGAGGCCGATGGTACACGTAGTTGCAGGCGTTCAACAAAGTATAATTGCTTCTGACGAATACTTTCCTTCATGCACAAACGGCTGTATCGGGGAAACTATAAAAGTACTACTAGTCGTACAAGACAACTTTGTGTCAAATGATGGCAGATCAAACGAGTTCCCACTGTTCCCCATTCTCCGTGTAAAGGAGCTCCTTCACGTTCTCCCCATTCTCAACCAAGGAAGGTCCAACGATGAAGTTGCTCAAAAGGGCACTAAACGTCAACCCTGAAAGAGGAGCAGGTGAAAGAATGACTTGGCCAGTGGTGGCGTTGACGTTAACGGACAGATTGACGGTGGTCAACGTGATAGCGATGTTGTCAGAGCCAATTATGACAGTCCCTGAGGTATCGCTGTTGACGCGACTAACAGTGAAGCGAGTGCGTTCGGTGCGCGAAATATAGACCGCGTTTGTCGCGTTAGACGATGGATAGTACCAATAATCATAAGGAGCGACTTTAGAGCGAATGAAGAAACTTTGGTAGGGCTACCATCAGCCAGATGTAGAACATGCTGCAAGGAATCAACTCACGAGTTCCCGCTAATGTGGTCCGTAAATTGATCAGGCGACGGGATGATGCTCAACCCACGGCCACCTATGTCGTTTTCCAAGGTGAAAAACACCTTGCCAAGGAATTGGGTCGCAACCCCAGCCGTGACAAGGGTCTCTGTGGCGTTGGCCAGGCTTGGGTTATGAGTGTAGTACTGGGCGTTGATGCGCTGAACACTGTTCACAAAACTAGTGACGGCGGAAGTGGACACGGCGCGCCACCACTCATCGGCAACTTCGCGGCTAGCGAAGGTGATCACGTATCGATAACTCCAGTTGTCTGCGACCTGAATGGTGATTTAGCACGACATTGACAAATAAATTTGAGGCGTACATTCTTTACATATGCGTAGAAAACCATGATTGTAAGTTCAATAGGAGAGGTGATTTGTTGGTTGTGGTTGGATTGAAATGGGTCGTTTGAACACTGCACATTATATAGGGAGAGAAAGTTATTTGGTCGGGTTGATGAGGAACCAGTGCGAGGTACGACGAACTCGACCGTAACTCGTACCAAACTGAACATTCCGGCAGGTTGCATCACCCAGTACCTGAATATGCGCAGAGTTGACAATCTCGTCTGATGGATGTGAAAATAACGACCGGCATTCGATACAGCTCTGATCACCAGCCTTCAGGTGTTCTTGGTACTACAGTCATCGATGACTCCCTCTCCCCTAACTTATGGACCTAGAGTTATTGCTGAGACCAAAACTGTGAAGAAGTGATTGGCAGGGGTAACACCTTACCTTCAATCTACATGACAAGACCGGGCCTGATAGCCTGAACGTAACGTTAAGCTTTGTGCATGCTTTGTTTCGTTGCCAAGCACATGTACATACCAGTTTTGCAAAATGACACATTATGCATTCAATATTCCGCATCTCTGGCACTATAGCCGAGGCTTGATAGGTGGGCGACCCTCCGACACCTTCGTAAGTTCCTGGATCTAGAGAAGTCCAGGTTCCTGGCTCTCGTGATAAACGAGGGAGGCCCAGGCTGCCTGTGACAAATGTGCCTCTGTGAAGCACTGACCAGGTCCCGACATGACCTTGGCTTCACTTGGAAAATTAATGACCGCTGATGATTTGAGAGCCAGCTGACTGCAGAGACAAAAGACATTCCTGAATGTGAAACAATGACCCATTACTAGTCTTAGTACGAGAACGAGGATAGACAGCAGGGTGACCTTGTGGTGGGTACTACGACTGGAGAGAGGGGCAGCGCAGAGAGCCAGAAGAAGGCCATCAAGGCGTACGAATGTTTTGCAATTACAGCGGAGCTGTACCGGAAACAATAAGCGAAATGATCTATGAATGCAATACAAATCAGAGCACAGCCATAAGCCAACCGATGCAAGATATGATTGGATGCCTGAAAGACAGAAAGAGACAATAGCACGGACAACTTGCTGTGAGTCACCACGATCGACCCGCCATCAAACTACACCCAACCTGCAAACAGTGCACAAACAACAAAGGCCACAGTGCTCACGAAAGTCGAGAACACAAGTCTTCCGGGGATTCGAAACACGGCAGATGATATTCAGGGTAATAACGTGCATCATAGTAAATGGGGCGATGTGAGGTATTATGGACAACCGCATGCAATGAGGGCGCCAGAAGCGCGCATGTAGTGTAGCACGAAACTTTGTAGAGGAATATCGCACACTGCGGGAAAGGATAACCCAATGCGCAAAGAAGAACAGAACAGAGCCTACAAGTAAGCAATGTAAAAACAGTGACGATGCTCTGCCACGTGCAGAAAAGAGAAAGACCTCGCAACTTCATTATCATTGGTAACATCACATTAATGTCGAAGAATGAATAATGGGCGATTCAGAGGCAGACCGTACACAGTTAGCTGGAAGTTGGGCTCATGGTCGGCTAGAGAAGTGCGTGAGAGAGGTTCAGAAATTACAGCTGGTTGCAATATTATGCGGAAACGCACAAGTTGAATTTGCGTCTCGGAAACACCCGAAGTAAGACCCCGTAAGCACAGTCTGAGCACACTGCGAGTGATCCGCAGTCAGTATACAGTGCCGCCTAGACCAGTGATGGCTTCACCTTCCGCATCCCCTGAGCCAGAAATACCTCGGTTTGAAACTGTTTTTGTTGTAAATCTTGACACATATGCAAAGAACTCGACAGAAAACAATGGAAAAACCAAAGTCAAGGAGGTGAAGTCTACCAAGGTCAAAGAAGTTGTTTTTCATGTCTCCGCACCCAATTACCTCGAATTCCTCACAACTATGCTTGCAAAGCACGACAAATCACTTTATAAGGTTACCGAGAAGAAAAGGTACACTTTTAAATACCTTCCTGGTGCTTCTCGCAGGTATGTCGGTCCTTAGATCATCTGACTCATGCCACGGCAATGATGGGATATCACTTACTCAGGTGATCAATTATAGCCGCACAGAAGCCATGGATGTCGACAACAAGAATGATTATGCCGAGATGGCAAAGAAGATCATTTCTGAGAAACTCAAAAAGATCAAGATTTTCATTGACATGAAGAATGTCGAGAAACTGCCTGTTTCTACCCATGAGGCAAGCCTCGAAAACTTTGTAATACCTCAACTAACAAAGAAATAGAGTTCTTTAGGAAATGCTGCTACCAATGAGAGTGGAGAATCTGAGGATGAGGAAACTGTGCTTGTTGTTGAGGTATTTCGACTGCAAAGACAGATCTCGCAATTTCAGCTGTTTAATGATGCTTCTTGTAGACTGGTGCTTCAGAGCTCGAGCGTGAAATTGCTCGTTATCGACAACTCATTATCAAGAAGTGGGGTAATGACTATGACAACTTGATTATGTACATTCACGCGAGTGGTATGGAGATTCCTTGTACCCCAGCCATGGTGAAAGACTGGGCTCGTGCAATGGTGATTGATTTGTAGTGACTTTATGTGTCTCTAGTTGAACCTTGTGTTTTCTCAGTATGATGGTGAAGCCATGACTTCGATGCCACTAATGATGTTCCGGCCTGGCTTGGCTCGAAAGCCGTGGCTTTGGCCTGGCTTCAGATGGCTTAGGCTTGCGAAAATTCGAGGCCGGGCCAAAGCCGCCAGTGACAGCTGGCTTTGGCTTGGCTTTGGCCTGAGCCACGGCCCAAGTACTGAAAATGGAGAAACATGTTCAGCAGATAATTTACATCATGGAGTCAGCATCTGATTCTACAAAATCCTCATCTCCCTCCAGAAGAGCATCCCAGCCCTCCTCATCCCCATCTTCGACATCACTCAGCTTCTCGTTAGCATCCATTTCAATATCAGAGTCCTCGAGAGCTTCCTCAGTTGATGACGAGGGTCCAGGCTCGCGGAAGAGTAGATCATGGCGGAGGGCACATTTGACGCACTGTAGTGCCTCAATGATGTCGCCTTTGAGGCGGTTGCAGTGCTTGCTAATGGTAATACCACCCTGTGAGAACGTGCGCTCACTCGAAACTGACGACGCCATAATTGAGAGGTAGTCATGAGCTAGTGAGGTCCATACTGGGCCATATCTGTGTCCATTAATCTACAACAAAGACTGGTCAGTATTGAGATGAGATAGACTTGGATGTGTACTTACACCCCACCATTGAATTATGCTCATTCCAGGCGGAGGTTTCGTCTCTACAGCATCGACATAGTTTTCAAAACTGGCATACCATGGTCTAGATGGATCTGTATGGGTGACGACAGTCTCATCATCGTTGTCTTCATCGGAGCTCTGCGCCTCACGAATTAACTTCTTGAGTCCGCTAGCCTTGCCTTTCTTGACGAGCGAAGGTTGCGACATGGATGCTGCCTGGCCCAATTCAAGATAGCGAGCCTCAAACTAAATGACTTGTAAGTGATTGTAGGCTGGTGAATAACTTTGTCCAACATACCACTCGTTTCGTGCAAGTGAGAACTTCGTCTTGCAAATCCTCGGGCCAGTTCTTCTTGAAGTACGACATTTTACCCGTTGGATCAAGCACTGCATGGAACATGAGCATCACGGATACATGGTAAATGGAACATACACATAGTCATGACATAGGCCGGGGAGTCAATGGTCTTATCATAATACTCGTCGAGCTTTTGTGCAGCGGCATGCAATGCTGGTGTGAAATGTGAATATTTTGGCCATTCCGCACGTGAAGACCAAGCTCGATGGAGAGTCTCGAGTGCAGGGATAGCAAGATGTAGCATAGTAGTTGATTCTGACAAGAAGGCCTGCTGGGCAACGTCTGCGTACTGAAACATTAAATCAGCGGCGGCACAATATCAAATAATGAAGGTAACATACCGATAATAGATCGGCAAATTTACCAACACGGGTCCATTCATCTGGCGCCAGCGTAATTCCTCTCCATCAGATTCATCAACAACTGCTTCAACACGCGTCCATTTACCCATTTTGAGTGCTGCCGAGGTTGCCAGGGTTGAACCTGATGGTGTGGTGTCACCTGTTGAGCTGGGGGTGGTTTGATCCGTGTTGGAAGCGTGTTGAATTTCAGGCAAATGCCTCGTAGCCTCAGCTGCATGAAAGGCATTGATGGCCTTGGTTTGGGATGGGAGAGCCGCCTTCTCTGAATGTTGGAGAAGGGCGGCACTGGGCTTCTTTTGACGGACTGGTCGTGCATGACATTCGTCATCACTGTCTGTGTGGATGGTTCTAACCATTAGAGACAAGTAGTAGGAAACAGATATGAAAAAAATACCATCACAGATGCACGCCTTTTGTCCGAAAACAAATGTGCTAGCTGCCAAGCTTGCAAGTCGCAAGAGACTCGTAAAAGAGGGCAAATTACTGAAATTGATCTATCCACCAGCAACAAAGTGAGTTATGTCGTGCTTGGAAAGAACAAAGATCAGCAACTCACTGTCATGAGCTCATACAACGGTAAGTGAAAGTCTAAAATGGGATAGAAGTGGGATTCTGGGGTCGTCAAGTGAGTGGTGTTTGCGACGCTGCAGGCACAGTTCTGTGTGACATAAGCCGTGGCTTGAGCCGCCGGCTTCAGCTTCTCAAAATCTCAGGCCAGGCCAAAGCCGTCACCAAGCCGTGACTTTGGCCTGGCTCGGCTTGGCCTGGCCCACGGCCTGAAGCCGGGCCATGCACATCACTAGATGCCACCAAATATCCCATCATTTGATCCTGCAAAACGCGAGCCTGCGCTGCACCCAATGCGCCGCACTGCATCAGCCACATCTATGGCACCTCCCACTGTAAATGCCAATGACATTAGCTCACTCACTTCAATGCTTCTGTTGCGGACAGTTCAAGATCTTGCCCGTAACCAAGACCACACTACAATTCCTTCAACACCTATAGTCCGTGCTTCTGTGCTTACTCAGTCACCTGCCATATTGACACCATCGAAACTTACTCGCTTCCTGGAGTATGCTGAGCAGGAACTCGGTGTTAGCCAGGCAATGATGTGTTACAAGAACATCTAGATGCTTGGGCCCCTACCATTTTTCTCCTAATCCTCCTCGTATCAGCCCTCGTGTCATACCCTTACCCCGACCTTACCCTTGTCATCCTTGTCATCCTCGCATTCCCCTTTGCTCTCTACCTGTCGCTTCAGTAGAGCCAGTACATCTGGCCAGATCCTTTCGCTGACGAAGCATACCCATGCTCCGTTCCACCACCTGACTGATCCTGTGGATAGTCCCCTTGCCCTTACCATCTGGACTGGTAACCTATGATACGATGCACGACACATCCCCGTTGCCCTTTTCCCTTTTTCGATCTCTGACTCAGTGCTCAGTCACACATGTTACTTATACTTAGATCCGCAGTTGCACGATCATGCCCCTGCGCGTTTCACCTCCTGTCTTGACCTTTGGCTCACTTTCTTATCCTGCACATTCTGCTTCGCCCGTGTCTCAACGCAAACGTGCTTTCCTTTTATGGTTATGCCCTTTACCGATTGCTTCTCTTGGTAGTACGAGTTATCATCCACTAATACTTCTCCTGTCCTCTATATAAACTCGCTACCATGTACTATATTCCCTAACTTGAATCTACTTGGTTCTTGACCTCCTACTCTCACCAGAGTGATCCTTTCTGCCTAGCCAGCAGTCTATATTCTATCTTCTTATCTGCTCTTCGCGGATAAGTCCTTAGTCTCGATCTTTACTCATCGACTTCGTCGACGAGCAAAGCCCCTGTTAACTAGTCGGACTTCCGTCCTTCTAATTAACGACGATCTTACGATTAACCTTTGGGTGTCGTAAGTCTTGGCAAATACAGCTCATCGTCTAGCATCCGCTTGATGTAAGCTACCTGATTCGGACATAGGCGTCAAATCTTACTTGCCAAAGCCTCGCCAAGTAAGACCCCTAACCTTGGGCTAGCCCAAGGACGTCCTCGACCGTTGACAACACACGCTCTGTTTGAGCGTCGCCAACAGATACCATCCAAGTCATAACAAAAGATTCAAGTTTCCCTTCTAGCCCTCGACACCTATCGAGGACAGAAACAGATACAAGACGACCACTCCCTGGACACGCAAGTTCTCTTGGGAGCGCGACCCGAATCAGGAAGATCCTGATGAAGAAGAGGTAGACGGACAGTTTAGCTCTCCCACCTCACCGACAGAGCAGTACCACTCAGACGAGGGACTGAACGACAAAGAAGATCTAGGAAACACTCCGACTTCTGAAGAGGACTTTCCAGACGAAGTACCTCCCCAAAACACTAGCGCCAATCCGAAGACAAGAATGTCTAACCCATCATCCTCCACCACTGTCGTAGTCCATGCCCCTGAACTCAAAGCAGGAGCACCAATGGAATACGATGGTGACACCGATGACGCGCAACGATGGCTCTACAGCTTGAAGACGTATTTCATCATCAATCCCACCGTCTACAGCAGCGAGCAGATCATGGTCTCAGTCGCCCTGTCATTAATGACAAAGAGCAGCGCTAAAGCATGGGCTGATAACTTCTACCGCGAAGCTTTCAGCACCAACCCTCCGAAATTCGGAACCTTCGCCAAATTCGAGAAAGGATTCAACCTTGCATTTCAACCCGTTGATAAGCAGGTGAATGCCCTCACCGAAATCGCCGAACTCAGAATGGGAAACAATGTTACGGACTACATCTCGAAGTTCAAAACGTTGGCTACCATCGCCAATATCAAGGAAGGCGTGACACTCTCACACTTCTTTGAGAAAGGCCTGAACCCAAGCCTTCGCGAAGCAATCTACAGGAAGGAGACACTTCCTGACACTATCGAAAAGTGGTACACTTCTGCGGTTCAGCTCGATGCTAACTACCGCAGGAGCAAGGCCGTCTCTGCCAACTCCCGAAACCAACACTCCCGATACGCCCCTCGCAGTTCCAAGTACTACCCCAAGCCTAATGTCTCATCGTCCAGAGACCCTAACGCTATGGACGTAGACCGCACCCTCTCTCAGGCAGAGAAAGACGAATGCTACAAGAAGGGCCTTTGCTTCTCATGCAAAGAGCATGGCCACAGAGCCAACGATCCCAGATTCCACCCGAAGATACGACGTGGAGAGAAGAAAGATACCAAAGGAAAGACTCCGGTAACGACTGGTAGAGACCAGCGTGACGATGAAAACCTCCGGAGACGACATGGAGACCAACCGGCTCCAAGAATCAGAGGATTTTTAGAGCGGAGGACCGCAAAAGCAATGTGCGTCCCCTCCTTAGATATCCTGTGTACTCATACTGTAGGAAAAGAAAATGAATTCCGTGTCCTGGTGACACTTTTCTCTTCCACGAGTACGAAAACCATTGCAACAACAGCCATCATCGACTCAGGGGCTGGGGGAACATTTATTTGTGACACCTTCGTAAAGAAGCACAATATTAGAACCCACCTCCTGAAGAAACCCTTCCGCATCACTACGGTAGATGGAAGCCAATCCACTGCTGGGAAGGTCACCAGATACTGCGTGCTCTTCATCCGACTCGACGGACGAACCATATGGGGAAAGTTTAACGTCACCAGACTCTCCAAACGAGACGAAATTCTGCTA